AAATTAAGCGATGTTGTAGGCAAAGAAATCGATACCAAGAGAGATCGATGCCAAGAATGATCGACGTCCATGTAATCTTTTGGACATTCCAGATGTGAGAGCAATTGGCAATATACAACAACAACAACATCAAGCCTTTGTCCCACTACGTGGGGTTGGCTACATAAACCCTTTTTCACCATTGTGTCCTGTTAAAAGTCAAGTTCTTATTTAAATCTAATAAAGAAAGATCATTTCTAATATTTTCTAACCAAGTCTTTTTAAGTCTAACTATACCTTTCTTAACATAAGTCAAATCTAATACCTCGACTTTCCTAACCGGGTCATCGGAAGGCTCCGTTTAATGTGACCAAACCATCTAAGACTATTCTCTCTAATCTTATCTTCCACTGGAGCTACTCCAACCTAATCTTTGTATATGCTCATTTCGTATCATATCTCTAAGGGTAAAGCCTATCATCCACATAAGCATCCTCATCTCTGCAACACTTAACTTAGTATTATACTTCTCTTTTAATGGCCAACATTCGGCACCATAAAGCATTGCAGGTCTCACCACCAACTTATAAAATTTTCCCTTAAGTTTGAGGGGGACTTTTCTATCGCACAACAAGCCCAATGCATTCCACCATTTCAACCATCCAACTTGAATTCTGCTGATAATATCCCCATCTATTTCACCATCACTCTGAACAATAGATCCAATATATCTAAAACGAGAACTCTTATTAATGACTTGATCGCCCAAAGTCACAATCCCCTCACTAGGTCTATTATTACTAAAATTACACTCCATATATTCCGTTTTAGATCTACTCAAGCGAAAACCTTTAGACACTAAGGTTGACCTCCATAATTCAAGTTTATCTTCAACTCCCTCTCTAGTCTTATCAACAAGAAAAATATCATCATCAAAAAGCATACACCAAGGTACATCCTTTTGCAAATGTCTAGTGAGAACATCCATGACTAAAGCAAAAAGATATAGACTTAAGGCTGATCCTTGATATAATCCAAACGAAATAGGAAAATACTTGGTCAAACCACTTGTGTTTGAGCACAAGTACTAGCTCCTGCATACATATCTTTAATGATTTGAATATAAGCATTATTAACTCATTTCATTTCAAGAACTATCCATAGCAATTCTCTTGTAACTTTATCATATGCTTTCTGTAAATCAATAAATATCATATGTAGATCCTCCTTATTCTCTCTATATTTCTCCATCAAACCTCTTAATAAATGTATGGCTTCCATAGTAGACCTACCCGGCATGAATCCAAATTGATTTTGAGAAACATTAGTCTCATGCCGCAACCTACGCTTCATAACTCGCTCCCAAAGTTTTAAAGTATGACACATTAACTTAATTACTCTATAATTCGCACACTCATGTGCATCACCTTTATTCTTAAAAATAAGAATTAACACACTCATTCTCCACTGATCTAGCATCTTTTTAGTCTTCAAAACAATATTAAAAAGTTTAGTAAACCAAGAAGTTCCTTCATCTTCTAAGCATTTCCACATCTCTACTGGAATATCATTAGGTCCAACAACTTTTTCACACTTCATTTTCTTTAAAGCCTCTCTAACTTCGGTTTTACTAATACACTGATAAAAACAAAAATCTTTATTTTCATTTAGAGTGCTAAGGTCACTAAAGTCAATCGTACTTTCATATTTTTTATTAAAAAGTTAAGCAAAATATCTCATCCACCTTTGTTGAATATCTTCTAAGAAAAATACTTTTGATCTTCATTCTTAATACACTTCACTTGAACAAAATCCTTACTACTCATATCTCTTTGTTTGGCTAATTTATACATATATCTTTCTCCCTCATTAGTATCTAATATATTATATAAATCATTAAAAGCTAAGCTCTTTGCATTGAAAAAAATTTTCTTAGATTCCTTACAAGCCTCTTTATAGCTTTCCTAATTATCAAATTTTTTACATCTAAACTAATTTTTATAACAAATCTTTTTATTTTGTATTTTTTCTTGCATACTTGAATTCCACCACCAACTATTTTTACTATTAGGAGATTTTTCCTTCGAAGCTCCAAGCACATCTTTTGTAATAATCTTAATATCACTAGCCATTTTTTCCTACTGCCCACATAACATTAGCATATGCACAAAAAAAATCTTAAGATCTAAAATCTTACTCTCAAAAATACTTTTGTTAATATTCTTTAAATGCCCTTCATCTAATCCTAGAAAATCGTTTTAATTTATTTTTATTTTCTGTCTCTTTATCTTAAAGTTCAAAACTAGTAATCAATATTTGGTGCATAAATTTTCACTCGCAATAACTTTACAATCTTTGCAATTTAAACAATATAATTTTCTTATAAGAAAATAATCAATCTGCATTTTATTATATCCATTTTTATAAGTGGTAAAATGCTCATCTCTTTTCTTAAATAAGGTATTAGTTATTAAAAAATCATAAGCTAAAGAAAAATCTAATATGATCTTACCACCTTCATTTGTCGTTCCAAGCACATTGCCACCAAGAATGCTTTTAAAATCTACCTCTCTACCAACATGTCCATTTAAATATCCTCCTATAAAAACCCTTTTTTCAAGAGGTATCTTTTATATTAATTCTTCTAAGTCATTTCAAAATTTTAATTTTGAATTCATATCCAAACCTACTTGAGGAACATAAGCGCTTATAATATTAACAATCTTAGCATCAACAATAATCTTTAAAGCTATAATTCTATCTTCAATTATGTTAATTTATATAACATCATCCTTATAATATTAACTCTTATCTATAATCACACCTACATCATTTATAATACGACTCCTACCCGAATACTATAGTTTATATCTTAAACTATCAATCTCTTTTCCAACTCATTTAGTTTCTTGAATGCACAGAATATTTATCATCCTAAGAATCATAATATATATTAATTCATTTAATTTCCCTATAAGGGAGCCTATTTTCTAAGTTCTTATCCTATTTTAGTTTCATGGACTAACTTATTTGACCACATTCATCCTTAATATGGGAACCCTTGCCTATTTACCACTGCACTCGACGTCGGTGCAGTGGCCCTTGCAAACTTGTCGCTGTATTCAGGCCATACAGCGCGTCGCTTCCAGGGGACGCACTAGCATTAACACAATTTTTAAAGGATTCATGTCATGATTATTCGACAAGTTTTACGTTGGATGTTGAATACCTAACGCAACCCTCCACTTTTCTCATCCAGAACTTGGAACCTGACAACGGCAGTATAATCAAGCAAAAACTATATTTGCACCTTCAAAGGAGAGCAGCAATCTCTCGAATGAGCTCTCTCAACGACTGTAGACCAAACGAGAAGCTCTTAGCAAGAAAAGACACTATAGAATGATCTGCTTGCGACGAGGCACCTCGTATATTGGAGGATGAGAAAGAATGCTCTCAGATAGACGAGGACTTAAAATTGTGGTCTTTGATGCCATATCAATCAAATTACTTGCCCTCTTCTAGATGGTCATTCTCATTGTATACAAAGTATAAGGTATAATACAATACATTGTTCAAATGATTTCAACAATCAAATCAATCCTAGGAATCTATAATGTATTCCAAAAAGACAAATATATGCATCTATACTAATCAATTACATGTATTTACAGTTATTATTAGCAGAAGGTTAATTATAGCATATACAGTTGATACCATCGAGATCTCACACATACTAATAGTACTCTCTCTAAACAAAGTAGAGTTGAAATCACCTTTGTTCCAAATTAGTGATAAAAAACACTACTCCAATGCTAAAAAAGAAACAAATAACCCAAAAAATGAAAACTATCAGCCTAAACCTTCATATTCTACCTCCACAATCATTGCCGCTCCACTAAATTGGCCTACAGACAAATCACTTTCTCCCACCCACATCACTACTCGTAAAAAAGCATTGTTATCCATTCATAAACTCCATATATAATTGTGATACTGAATAATGTCTTCCTCTCCCGCTACCTGGTTGCCCTTAAAATCCAAAGCCCTGCTTTGCTTGACAAAACACATAACCATGACCTTAAAAAAGGTGAAAAGTAAATATGGAAAACAAGATATTGTTTCCTTTGACTTCAATCACCATCAGGAGTTGCACATTTATTGAAGATAGCAGAGAAGCATAAGGAGGTGGATAGATCACAAACCATCTCATCTTTCATAATTTCTCAATCACAATCCCACGTTGTTTTTCTTCTCAACTGGATTGGATCAGTTCAAATAAACCCAGTCATGCTATCAACTTGCCCAAAGTACAAATTTAAAAAATGGCTCTACCTATACTAAACCAGACTTGAGTTAAGGGCGACAAATAGCCACCACAAAGCTCATTCTAAGATTCTCCTGTGCATATAATAGACAGCAGAGATGTAGAAAAACAAAATTGCATTCAACAATGATATTCCCGTGATATATAAGACAATTATTTTTGCCTGCATGTTTTTTCCAAGAAGATTTTTGGGTTAAGGTTATATAATTCCATAGAAATTTTTCTTGTGCGTTCTTAGTTCTCTTTCTCGCACTTTGTAGTTGCTAGGTGAGGACAATATCATATGTCCTGTTATGATGCTAATTCTACAAAAATTATGTCGCATACAATCATTGCAAAACATGGGTCCCAACATATGCCATATATGAGAGGCTTCTTCCGGTCATGTTGCTGATTAGCAACAAGTTTTGATTGCATCAATAGACATACTAAATTGTATAAGCGTCCAAGGCATGGACAATGGACTCATTGATATGTAGAATGAAAACAATGGTTTAAATTCACCATCAAATAATAGAGGTTGCTGAACATCTATTACTAGTTACAGAACCGTAAAAGAAAATTATAGAAACATTCAATTGTGGAAGTAGAGAGCTTTGCCAATAAATAAAAGAAGAATCAGTGGAGATGAGCATGTGATATCTGATCATACATCAAAACAAGCGTGTCTTTATTGCATCATCATTAGCATTTGTACCTTGGGATAATAAGCCGGTCCCAGGGGCAGTTTCGAAAGGATCCAATCCTTGACATCATCCACTCCATGTCCATATTTTGCACTCACAGGTATGATATCATCAGCAAATGTGAATTTCTCATACCACTGTAGCATATGACAGCTTTAAACCATGAAATCATACACAGCAATAAATGAGAAAATTAAAAACTTCAAAATAATAAAAAAGCTTTCAACCATCACAGTTCATCGTAACACCAAGATTTATAGTCTTAGTGCTTAAAAATCATGAACATTTTGTTGGTGCTACCTCAAGCCTCTTAGCAATCTCCCCAGGTTTAATTAGATCCTTCTTATTCAACACTACGAGAATAGGAACTTTGTCTTTGAGAGCACCAACACCTTCTTCAAAAATCTCATCAATCTAAAAAATACCAATAGGTGAATTATGAGCATTGTGATTTCAAGCTTTATTTACCATCACATTTTTAACAGTAGAATGTATACCTTCTTAGGAACCTTAGAAGCATCAACAACAACAAGCACACAATCTGCATTAATTGCAGCTGTTCGAACATTCTTCATCATCATAGAATCTAACTTGTGCATTTTCTTTTCAATGACACCAGGTGTATCATATAGTATGATCTGCAAACTAACCATAAGTTCAAATACTAGACTGAAAATTGAAGGAAAAAGATATTGAGATTGTTAGAAACTCAATCAAAAAGATCAGGTCAAGAAAGACCAATACCTGATAATCAGTGTCTGAACATATACCAAGTATTCGATGTCTTGTAGTTTGAGGTTTATCCGTAACAATGGAGAGCTTCTGCCCTATCATTTGGTTCGAAAGAGTACTCTTTCCTACATTTGGCTTACCTAAAACAGCTACATATCCTGCATTTATAAATAACGCTACAACTCAATTCCTCATAAAATGTAACTTCCAAGTCTTCCAGTCTTTTTTTTTTTTTTCAAATAAAAATGAACACCTGAATGCAATATGTAATCATAAAATTGCATCAGCAGATTATAGAAACATATATCACTACCACAACAAAACTGAAAGTGAATAAGCAAACACGCTCCTGTTGTGTAAACTTGGAATAATGTGCAGAAGTATAACAAGAAACATATGTACCATTCTACATGAACAATCGAGAACAACAAAAGACGGAGTAACAAAGCCAAATATGATAATTCAATGTCAGCTCGAAATTCTCAGTGCTGGCTTAAATAGTTGCACTTAATGTCCCAACTGAGGTTGAATGAATATGCACGCTCATAAAAAATTCTAGAAATAGATTCCATTTAAACAACAAATAGTTGTAACAACTTCCTTGAAAGTTTTTCACCATAAAATCAAATACCGTAAAAATAAACATCAAAACAATTGCTTCATATATTTCAATCAATTATTGCGAGAAACAGAGTGAACTTGATCAAATCGCACAGTCACCATATCAAACAATCACTTCTTCCTCTAATGCCTCCTTCATTAGAAATGCTTAAGAAAAATGAAAACCTGATTTTCAAGAACTTAACAAAATCATATAAGAATGGAGCTGGAGCGAGAAATAAACGAAGCAAGAACGGTAATTAACCACTGCGATGTGATGGGCTGCTGGAGCCATCAGAATCCAGCGCACCGAGCTCATAATCATCGAGCAATGCAAGGCTCCTATCGGGCTTCCCGGTCAGAGAGAGCAATGAAGAAGACGAATTGAAAGGCAACTGTTCCTCTTCCTCGCCCACTGCCTCTGTCATTTCTTCATCGTCTTCATCTTCAATCGGTCTCCTTGACTTCGAAAGTATAGTCCCGACCTTCCCCTCGAGGGATGAGAGTCTACTTCTGGCTCGGGCAGCGGATGCTTGGAAAGGGTTCCGAGGGGAGAGAGAGCAGAAAGAAGTTTCTCGGAGGAGTAAGCGAGGAGAAGAAAAAGAAAGGGAAACACAAATTCCTCGAACGCTAGCGGAGCAAGAGAAGGTAGCGAGACCGAGCTTCATTCTAGAGCGCGGGAGAGAGAAACAGCAAGGGAAGGGCTTTACATTATCCAGCGAATGATTTTGAAGAAGAAGTTGCCGGAACACAGGTAGCGCAATCCTACACAATTCCAAAAAATGTATATTAAAATTTATTTAAATTATATTTTTACATATAAATGAAACCAAATTATAAGTATTTTACCTATTTTTATTTTTTTTAAATGTATTGATTCATGTTACCAAGAATTTACTTTATATGAGTTTGTTTGAAAATATATATGAATAAATAATATTTTATTCACTCAAGTTTTAAGATGTAATTAATAAAAATTAACAAGACTTCATCCAGACGTAAATCTTGATTCATATTGGAATTAAAAAAAATTTCAAAATTATCTTCAAACTTCAATTTTAGCAATTTTATCATAAAACTAAATGCCCAGATGAGATGAAACTACCAACACCAAAAATAATTTGATCCACCTCCAAATGTGTGCAAATCAAATACTTAAAGCGTAATAGTAAACTTTGAAATATTAATTGCAGGATCAAATGATCTCCAAATCTTATATGTTCATTGTCGAATTGAGTTTACCGATGAGATAAATCCAACAAGCTACAAATACTTTTTAATTCTAACATTATTTAGACACTTAAATAATGGTAGAATAATTTATGATTGAGGTATCAATATTGGTTGTCTGATAGAGTATTCTTGAGATGTCACTCTATTGGACATGACACTCTAATATATATATCTGACTATCTATATGAGAGAGAGCTTAAACCTGTAGCTTAAAATTGAAGAGAACTTAGCGGGTTGAAAAATCTTTGAGCTCCACCTAAGCACCATCATTAAACCACCCATTATCAAGCCACCACCAACTTGGCAACGTTGGACGGGCATAGATCACCGCCATTATACCACCACCAGATCAGTGCTATTTGTACCCCCTATTGTCAACCAATCATCATTTAAACTTTGTCGTTGTCGTTGAACCATCTCGTTTTAACCACTGACATCTAATAGCCGCCATCAAAACACCACCTGATTGTCGCTAACCACCACTTGATCACCATTATTTGGCTACTATTGTCCAACGACAGTTCTCCAACCACCATCGTCTGATTATGGTCATTCAATCACCATGATCTAACAATGGCCATCTAATCACTATCCCCTATGATGATCCTCTATCCATCAACATCAAACCACCATCATCCAACTACGATCTTTTGACCACTGCAACCAACTATGTTCATTCAATCTCTCTCACCTAACTACAATTCTCTAACCTCTGCCACCCTATTACAATCCTCTAATTATCATCGCTCAGTTATATTCCTCTAATCGCCATCATCACCTACACTCCTTAGACCACCATCCCCCGACTATGGTTCTCAAATCATTATCACTCGACTACAATCCTCTAAACCTCATTACCCTGCATATTTATAGCCATAATTAGTATAAAGTTAATGATGTCTTATATTGCATCAACTTATTTCCCAATCATGAAAAATGGCATCATTTGTAAATCAAATACTTAAAGCCTAATAGTAAACTTTGAAATATTAATTGGAGGATCAAATAATCTTCAAATCTTATATGTTCATTGTCGAATTGAGTTTATCGATGAGATAAATCCAACAAGCTACAAATACTTTTTAATTCTAACATTATTTAGACACTTAAATACTGGTATAATAATTTATGATTGAGGTATCAATATTGGTTGTCTAATAGAGTATTCTTGAGATGTTACTCTAAAGGACATATATATATATATATATATATATATATATATATATATACTCTAACTCATTGCATGACTAATAATTGATAAAAATATATTGACAATAATTTTTCTATTTTAATGGCCTACCAAAATGAATTCGATCCATATTTGTTCATGGGTGTCACATGACCTTACTATTAAGTTTAGTTGGCTAGAACAAAAAAAACATAATAGAGAAATAAGTGAGTGTGGAGAGCGAATGGGCAGAAAAAAAATCCATGTACAACAACAACAACAACAAAAATAACAATAAACCTTTATCCCACTACTTGGGGTCAGCTAGGGATGTAAGTGAGCCGAGCCGGCTCGTGAGCCGGCTCGAACTCGACTCGTTAACGA